TCACACATACACAATTTGATAGGGTCTAAAACATATTTTTTTGAGGAAGAATTTGCGTGCAAATTATTATTAAAGTAGATAAATATAAAAAGTTGTGTGGAATGTTTTACAAAAAAAAATAAATCTTAAAGAAACATTGTATCCTTAACATCATAGAGTAACATATATGCATGTGTAATATAAAGTAACTATTACAAATAGTATCTCAGCTACCTTAATTTATATTTCAACTCTATAGATATTAAATTTATTTTGAATTCAAGTGTTAGGTGATCAAAATATAAGATTAATGTTCTCATCCTCGAGAGATGGTATTTTTGATATATTTTTATTTATTTATTTTTATAACATATCAGTTGAAATTGTATAGAAGATTTTGATACTAACTAATAGATACGTGCACCACACGTATCCAGAACTAGTAGATATGAAAACCAAGAAACAATAATGTTAAGAACCACTGCTTGATGTGAAATAAGTTCAATTATATAAAGGTGATTATGTAATTGAAGCAACAAGTGAGAGCAAAAGATCTTCTTACGGTTAACATCGGCAAGACCGTAGCCTTCAATTCACTGAAAATAGCAATAGGAGATTCAAGACGTAAAATTCCCAAAACTGTGAAGTGTTGTTCCAAATTGCTAACCAAACAGTTTGATCAAATGCAACCTTGATAGGAACCACCCACCAATCTTTGAAAGAAACAGTGCCTAATACGAATCAGAGTGTGTTGCTTAGTCCAGAACAATTAAAACCTATGATTGTGCAGATGAGAGAGTGAATCTAACTAAGTCTGATCTCAACATACGTGCACGATCGATTTTAAAAAGAAGCACTGGATTAAGTATAGGGAAAACTAATCAATACCTGTGTTGAAAAACAAATTCAAATGATTCATGGCATTTGCAGAACTTTCTATTCAATCCCCACTAACCTGTGCGATCCAATCCCCAACATATTACACCACTTCGCTGATAACCATTTTAGCCAAAACTGGATTTCTTTTAAGGGCTTCCTTGTATGCAACCGAGTGTTGCTGAGGTGCATATCTCAATTGCTTCAGAAATTAATTCCACAAGAAACAAATATGTTTCAATGTGGTGAACCCAAGTAAAAGAATATATAACTGTAAGAAATAAAAGGATACAAGGAAAAAAACAAAATTGTCACTACAAGTATTATAAGTATACGTTGTTCCTTGTAGATCTATCAAAAGATCAAACTCTTTTAAGAAAAAAAGTATTTGAAATCAAGAAAGAACAATTAGGATATAACAATTTGAATCAACAGTTCTATATACTGAATGAAATGATATATGCAATCATTACCTGTGAGCAACGAAGACCAACACAAATTAAACTGCATAGAACTGTCAGATTCTCCGATTAGACCAAAATCAGATACAAATAAACATCATAAACCAGCCTATACACATGTAAATAACTGCGACATGATATTCATGACTAAGTTGCCAATGATTTAAACCACCGAAGACTGGATGACTTTAAGAAAGTGTGTGTGTTTCCACCTAAATGGAAGGTACTTGTATACTCAAGGGATACATATCAAACATATCTTTTTAGCTTAGGCTAGAAAGGTTTCTCCTTTATCCTTTTTGATTGCCTCTTAATGCTTGTAGCTGTTATGAACCAAGTCTAGCCCAGTGTAGATACTAATGTCATACAAGTTGTTATTGGGCTGACAAAAGTTATTGGGCTGAGAACGAGTAATAGGGCCATATTAATTTGGGATCTGGGTCGAGTAGTGGGCATGAAACGTGTTGGAATGTATGCGTCCACCAGTGATCACGGGACCAGGTCCCTCGACAGAATAACAGTGCAGAAAATAAATAGCATAATGTAAAACAGGCACAAGAGTTTTACGTGAAAACCTCCTCACTCAAGCGAGTAAAACCACCTGTCACATAGGACTTTCAAACTATTTTCACTAATCTTCTCAAGCAAAAGTGAAACACAGTTTACACCACAACAATGAGATTAACCTCCTAATCTCACACTAAGTAATACAAATATTACTTAAAAAAGCCTAACAAAATGCCTGCATTGCCCAATATACTAACCCTCAACGATTAATATAGACTTTTATAGTATGACACAAAGTTGTCCCTAACTATGTTCTTACAAAGATTCACACAAGTTTTGGAACATTTCTAACACAAGTGAAACGAATCCTACAAGTTAAGCACAAATACAAACAATCAAGAACAACAATAGGTACGGAAAGCACTCCTTCAGTTGATCAGGTCCTTGCTGTATGTGTTCTTGTGCTTGAGTTCTTCCTTGAAAATGGCCTTCTCTTTTTAGCTTATGAGTTTTTGTTTGTGAAATCTTAAGTTTGTATTTTGTGGAAGAGACTATATCAAAAAGCCACAAACTCATTGGGACCGCCCATTGGCTGAGAGCCTGCTTCTCTGGAAAGACATGCACCTACCACATCAGAGGTGGTAGCTTTTCTGACAGTTGTCTTTTCGTCCTTTCACATACGCAGTCTTGCAGGGACCAGGTCCCTTTCAAACTTTTCTTAGTGAGTTCTTGAGAAGACTTGCTGGCTCTCGCTCCTTTTGAATTAATGATTTAATTTGTTGTTTGTCATGTTGATTAAATTAACCATAAAGAGTTATTGACCGTTGGACAAACAACCTCGTCCATTCTGATTGGTGTAGTACGCTGATGCCTCACCAACCTCTGATTGGACAACTTTACAGTTGTATACCATTATAAATCTGGACAAGAGAACTCTGCCAGAGACTAGTCCCTACATTTGTGATCCACAGAAACAGACAGTCTCGTCCGCTCTTCCTATTGGTGCAATACACTGCACTTTTCACCTACCACCTGACATGACAACTTTACAATTGTACCCCATTTGAATCTGGACGAGAGCACTCTGCCAGGGACCTTGTATTTGTGAGGATCATCAAAACACCTAGAATATAACAAAATGTTCCATCAAAAAGGGTAGTGATATATGATTTATGTATTATGCAAATTGTTGAGAAAAATGTCTAGTCCTCTCATCCCCTTTCTTTGAGTCTATGCTTTTCATCTCCCTTCTAGTTATCTTCTACAATAGGTTTTTTTGTTAGTTCCATTTTCCGTTGTAACTTCGAGTTTAGTGATTATAATATTTGAATGTTTCTATTGTGAAATTGGAGTTGTTACATTGATGCTTTCATTGATATGTCTACCATGGTGGACACTTCTCTCACCTCCCTTAATGAATCTATTTGTGCATTCTGGGAACGGTTTGATTTCCACTAGTCATCCCATGTTCTACCCCATTTAACTCCTCGTCGTATACCAGATTCAGTTTTGCTTCTGCGATTTAGTGGTGATAATCCGGCAGTCTGGGTTCTTCAGGAATATAAGTATTTCGCATTCCACAACATTTTATCAGAGCATAAATTGTCATTGGCTTCATTTTGTTTTGATGGTGATGCTTTAGAATGGTATCGATGGTTATTTCGCAACAAACAACTCGCTGGTTGGGATCATTTTGTGGACAAAGTGTTGATTCATTTTTGCTCTCGTACTAGAGATACATATAGCGAGTTTGTACCCATTCCCAAGCAACATGAGGCAGCGGAGAATTATATTACTAACTCACACTCGCCTCAATACTTGAATGAACACTCAGACCGCAACAAACCAAGCCCAGCACACACATTGTTCAAAGAGATGTTGGATGGGGAAATTAATTACTTTAGAGATGAAACTATGGTGTTACCAGAGAACCATATATGCCATTTTTCTGAACAGGGCAATATCTCGGTTTCACTAGAAATTCCGTATGATCTCTTTGCTGAAAACTTTGAGGTAGACCACATGTTCGATAAAATGCCCGAGAAGTGTAATAAAGTAGATTCCTTGGACAATACCTCTGTTGGAAGTAATATTGATACTTTTGATAATATTGGCGGTAGACCGATTTATTCTGTACATAGTATGCATGATCAAATGGTGTCGGATCCAAATATATCTAATAACCCTACTAAAGATGAAGCATTTGGATTTCCAAACTAACCCCTCTCTGAACTGTCTCAGTATGATAATGATCAATCAAGTCGAGAAGGGTGACATAATATTCGTACAATATCCTATGAAACACCTCCACCACAAGAGTACCCCACTAATTTGTTGTTGTCTGCTTTCGGTGCGCACAATGATCATTCCATGAACACATTCTTCATGCGCGAAGTTGTTGATGATGCTAAGTGTCACTCCCAAAATACACGCAAGTGTACGTGGTTGTATAAGTAGTATAGATTATTCAAGAAATGAGTTATCGTTCCCAAGGGACTTATGATCAACTTATATTCACTCAATTCTACAACTAAGAGTAACCCAGTAACCTTTTTTAAGAGTTGTGATTTAGTTTAGTATCTACTAATTATTATGCACTAATTGAAAGTAACTAATTGTGAACAACTTTGATATAATATGATTCAAGCAAGTTTAAAAACAATTCCAGGGCTGCAGCATACAATGAATATCATGTATCATATCATCGGCTTAGAATTCACTTCAGTTGTCAAATTATTGGTTTATAGGGTTGATGGTATGGTCCGGGTGGTTCGCTTCTCGCCGCCTACCCCAGTTAGCTATCTAACTACATCGTTGAGCGGGGATAAATAAACTAACTGGCAAGCATGTATATTTCATCCTATTTCGTAACCAAGCAAGGTGTTCGTCTAGGTGTCACTCCTGAAAACTAATCACCTCAATTTAATGGGTGGACCGAGCTCTCTATATTCTCTGGTCTATCTAATCCCTCCTCTTTCGATTTTAAGATTAGACACTAGATTTATTTTATGGTGCGCAAGCATAAAATAGTAAAACAAGAATATAGAAGTAATTTGGATTGACAACCGAAAATCAATTCATAAAGCCTCAAACATTCAACACATAATTCATAGCTACAGCCCCAGAACTAAGGCGTTTAGCTACTCATGCTATTAGAAAACAAGAAAATACTATAGTTCATGCAATTTCTGAAAAATAGAAGAGTTAAAGGATCAAAACCTATTACAAACTTGGATTCTTGCCTTTGCTCATTAAATCAAAAGTCTCCCCCTTTTTGAAGCCCTAAGGATCTATTTATACTAGTAGGATAAGTTGGTAACCAATCCTACTCAAATAAGAAATCCTATCTAATGTTAAAAACTTGTTAAAGTTAGAAAACATGTGGCGTGTCGCGCCCCTTATCGCGCCAAAACGTATCTTCCCTCATTTAGCTCCTGGTGCGCCGCGCCAAGCAGAGCGCCAGCCACTGGTGATTGTTACCTTAACCATTTTCCTACATCTCCTTGCTCCTTCTTCCATCTTCCCAATTCATATTCCATCAATATTTCCTAAAACAACTAATCACGTGTGTAAGTATGCAATCATCATAAATTAAACTAGAATTCAAGCTAATAAATCAAGATTGTCATCAAACATCATCACTTCGTGGGCCAATTCCGACTACTTAGGTATATAAATATGCCTAAGATCACCACCCCACACTTAGAGTTTTGTTTGTCCTCAAACAATCTTTAAACTATGGACTCTTTTTCACAATCCTTGGCTTTATCAACCTGCCTCAAAACCAACCAAACATATTTAATCATGATCTTGTAGTTCACATTGGATGCAACAATTCACAACATTTATACCAAGTACCCTCATGCTCAAAGAATGACTCTTTTGTCATTTTTCCGGGCTAATGCAAATTCATATCACAAATCAATTAGATAATCCTACACATGCCATGAATGCCCTCACTTGTTTATGCTTAGTTAATCCTTTCACTCAAGCACTTTTCAAAATCAATAAGGCTTATCTTTCTAACAAACACTCCCTCTCACAAAAGAAATTCTTACTTTCCTTAACATACCATAAGCTTGCCCATAGTGTATTCTTACTTTCGCATTATATTTCTCAAGGAATCAAGAGGACTTTCATTTGGTTGTAATGTCGGCTTAAGGTAAGGAAGGGAATATTTTAGAAATCATTTTAGTGACTACACCTCCCTAATGCACATGTCATTGTATTGCCAACAATTTTCTTTTATAGCTCTTCATTCCTCGTAATACATCTTTCATGATTATTTAACCCCCCCCCCCCCCCCCCCCCATTTTCATATTTACCCTTTATTTTTTTATTTTTTTTTATATATATGCCTTTACACTAGCCACCCAAACAGTAGATTTTTAACAACCGAGTAAGGTACACATTATCCTTGATAGGATCAGGGCCAATGTTTCGAGCATAATTCTAAATTAGCCACCCTCCATTTTGGTCGAGGTGCACATGGTCACTAAGGACCAGGGCCAATACAGACTTTTCTTTTTCACACAACGTAGTAATTCTCCCTTGGCTATATCAACCAACATTTTCCACCCTTCTTCTCAACATAGTGCATTAAGGATTTTCCATAGGATAAAAAAGCTTGGTCTAAAAAAAAAAAGGGTTTCGCTTTATCATGTGGTTT